TATGCTTCCTCCGGTAAGAGAAGACCACATGGAAATACTCAGATTAGCAATTATGGCTTAAATACTTAAGTCAGAGCTAGCCAGTAAGAAACCAAGCAAACAGCCAACAGCTTATAATTAATATAGCATCCTGTATGTTATTTGGGGGCTGAGACAGCAGTGGGACCCAAGCGGCTAACCGAGGCAGGGCCTAAGCGACTGGCAGGAAGATTACATGTTACAGAGATCTTTCTATTTTCTGGTATCTTCTTTAATTTCTTTCTTTAGAGACTCAAAGTTCTTCCTATACAGGTCTTTCATTTGTTTGGTTAGCATTACCCCAATAATTTTCTGTTGTTTGTGGCTATTGTAAAGTGTGATGTTTCTCTGATTTCCCTCTCAGTCCATTTATTGTCGATATATAGTAGGGTTACTGATTTTTTTGAGTTAATCTTGTATCCTGCCACTTTGTTGAAGGTGTTTATCAGCTGTAGGAGTTCCCGGTAGAGTTTTTCGGGTCACTTACATATACTATCATATCATCTGCAAATAGTGAAAATTTGACTTCTTCTTTTCAATTTGTATCCCCTTAATCTCCTTTTATTGTCTTATTGCTTTAGCTAGAACTTCAAGTACAGTATCGAAGAGATATGGAGAGAGTGGACAACCTTGTCTTGTTCCTGATTTTAGAGGAATCACATTGAGGTTCTCTCCATTTAGTTGATGCTGGCTGTTGGATTGCTGTATATTGCTTTTATTATGTTCAGGTATGCTCCTGTTATCCCTGATCTCTCTAGGACCTTTATCATGAAGGGGTGCTGGATTTTGTCAAAGGCTTTTTCAGCATCTAGTGAGATGATCATGTGGGTTTTCTTTTGCAGTTTGTTCATATGGTGGATTACAGTGATGGATTTTCATACGTTGAACCATCCCTGCATCCCTGGGCCTACTTGATCATGGTCGATGATTTTTCTGATGTGCTATTGGATTCCATTTATCAGTATTTTGTTGACTATTTTTGCATCAGTGTTCATGAAGGATATTGGTCTGTAGTTCTTTTTCTTAGTTGTGTCTTTGTGTAGCTTGGGTACCAAGGTAATTGTAGCCTCATAAAAAGAGTTTGGCAATGACCCTTCTGCTTCTATTGTGTAGAACACTTTGAGGAATATTGGTGTTAGCTGTTATTTGAATTTGTGGTAGAATTCCGCACTGAAACCATCTGGCCCTGGGATTTTTTTTTTGGTTGGGAGACTTTTGATGACTGCTTCTATTTCAATAGGGGTTATATGTCTATTTAAATTGCTTGTCTGTTCTTGATTTAAGTTTTGTAAATGATCCAGAAAATTCTTCACTTCCTTTAAATTCTCAAATTTTGTGGAGTACAGGTTTTCAAAGTATGACCTGATGATTCTCTGGATTTCCTCAGTGTCCATTGTTTTGTCCCCCTTTTCATTTCTGATTTTGTTAATTTGCATGTTCTTTTTCTGCCTTTGATTAGTTTGGATAAAGGTTTGTCTAAATTGTTGATTTTCTCAAAGAACCAACTCTTTGTTTCATTGATCCTTTGCAATGTTTTCCTGGTTTCTACTTTGTTGATTTCAGTCCTCAATTTGATTATTTCCTGGCATCTACTCCTTTGAGTTGAGTTTGCTTATTTTTGTTTTAGAGATTTCAGTTGTGCTGTTAGTTCTTTTGTGTGACTATTCTCCAGTTTCTTCATGTGGGCACTTAGTGCTTTGAACTTGTTTTCTTTAAGAGATTTGTTTATTTCTTGCAACTTTTGGTTTGTCTTTTCCTCCATTTCTTGGATTTCTTTTCTTGCTTTTCTTCCCCCTAAGGGATTTTTCTCATTTCCTCTTTGATGGTCTCTATCATCTTCATAAATTTGTTTTCAAGGTTGTTCTCTTATGCTTCATCTGTGTTGGGATGTTCAGGTCTTGCTGGTGTGGAGTCCCCAGACTCCGATGGCATTATTGTAGGAGGAAACAGTGTTCCGCCATTAACCATGTGACTTACTAGAGGCGCATACAGATGAGGTTTACCGCACCACTAACCACACCCACTTTAGGCATGACTAAAGACGTATACGGACATAGGCGGTGAACTACTTCACTAGCCAGGCCCACTTTTGGGCATGGCTAGGGGCGTTACGGAGGAAGGTATAAAAGACTGAACAGCGGAAGTCTAGCTCTCTTTTTCCGGCTTTCCGGCTTCCAGTTCAGTGGTGGAAAACTACTTGGCTCATCTGGGTTACTTGTTTGTCTCTTGTGAGTAATTTCTACAATAAATATTTATTTTTACTTTCAGTAAGTGTGCCGTTTATCATTGAAGCATCACATTATATTGATCTTTCTGTTGTTGAATGTGTTCTTATTCTGTCATCTTCCCATCCCTCCTTCCAATGGGTGCCTGCAGGGTCTCTCCTTCTCCTGGTGGGTACAGGCGCAATGTTCTCTTCCGGTGGGTGCAAGCAGATCCAATAATCCAATGGCTCTCCTCTTCCCGTAGGTGGAGGCAGAACTAGCACAGCAAAGTCAGGAGACTCTTGATGGTCTGGACTGTATGGATAGGATCCTCTGTATACAATCCACAGGCCTCAGGAGGCTCTGAGCCAGGTCTCTGAGATTCTAGGTCTCCTATCCACTTATGGGGGAAACCCAGCTTATTTGAGTAAAAAAGGAGCAGTTGTTGTCATTTAAAGATAGAACATTGGCAAAGGGTTCCAAAAAAAAAAAAGCCAGTTCATGTACTAGGGAGGAATACTGGTTCCACTGCTAGTTACCCCATTGTAAAAGGAAGCTTTTTCTTTGAGAGGAGCCTTCCCGCCAACCTGGTTCTAGAGCCGCATCAGTCCCAAATAAACACACAGGAGGCTATATTAATTATGAAGCTGTTGGCCTTGTTTGTTTCTGCTAGCTCTGACTTAAGTAATTACCCCATAATTGTTAATCTAAGTATGTCTCTTACCGGAGAAGTTTCCGGGCTTCCTACCCCATGGCGTCACATCTCGAACTCTCTTGTGTTTCTCCTTCCCAGAGTCCTCCTGGACTCCTAGTCCCACCTATCTAGATTCCTATTGGCTCAACAGGGCTTTATTGACATAAGACTTCCCCAACACCCCATAAACTTCCCAAGCTCCCCAGGGAGAGGGGACTGGGATTGGTATGTAAAATAAGATTGTTTTAAAAATAAAATAAAGACAGAACACAGAAGATAAAGTGAGACTTTGAAATAAAATCTCCCTTTCATTTTTTTCTTTCATGTATAAGCATTGGTTCTTTTACACTCATGTTTTAGATCACAGATAAACATGGAGAAAGTATAGAAATCCTTTGTAGAAGGCCCAGAACCTTCCTTGTGTGCTTCTTCACCAGGAAGCCTCAGGACGACCAGGAGACGGGCATCTGTTCATGAGGGTATCCAGGAGAGGACACTTTCTAGTAAAAACACTCTGCATAGTCTTGGCCTCTGTTGGTCACCACCATTATTCAGCAGGCAAGGACTTAGCCTCCATCCTGCCCGTCATACAGAGTAGGGAGGGAGGATTCTGAATAAGCTGTGAAGAAACAGGGGCTGTAGGGTCCTGGGACACACAGACATCACCAGTTCATTCCTTCATTGTAAGGGATCTCAGAGCTAGGTGACCCCAGCATCCCTTCTGACTCTAAAGGTCATGATTTTAAATAAAGTTGAAACTGGTTTTTGCTACTTCCCTGACCCCATTTGGCATGCAGGCATAAATCCTCATTCTTTGTTCTTAAGTGGCTTGATCAGAGCCGTGATCTTTAATGGGCACCCTGGGCACAGCTAAGTTCTACGTAATTCTTTAGTAATAAAGTGCCTTTCCTTGTTACACATACTCCTTCTTGGCCACCCTGCATCTCAACATCTCTGATAAATTTAAATATAAAATGTTAGGGAAAAAACCCTTTCCAGCTTGGGATAACCTCTTAGTAGATGCCAGCTAAGCTATTTACCTCTTGATAAGAAGTTAGCAGGAAAAAACTGCAGGGAGAATGTTTATTCCATATTTCCTTTTTGATCAGAGTAATTGGTTTTATAATTGCTAGACCTGTGTTGGCACCCATGAACAACTGCCTGCCATTGAGAAGCAGGCCTGGGTTTTAGCGGTTTAATGAATGTTGACAAGTGCTAGGCTTATGTGGCAACATAACACCTCTGGTGATGCAGTGTGCAATTTCCTAGCTTTTCCTACACAAGTCTAACAAATCCAATAAAGGCTGCCTCCTCAAAAGGTGCCAAGAAGCAGGCCTCACTGGTTGCAGCCATTGGGAAAAGATACCGGTTATACTGGCAAGGAAATTACTCAGGCCTTCAAATCAGAATACCCTTGTGGCCCCATGTGATTGAAGGGGAGGAGTTCCCATCCTCCCGAACTTCACAACCACAGCTACCTTAGTCCTGTTTGAAGGACCATCACAGGGACGTCTCTCAGGCATTGCTTGTGGCAGCTGTGTGTTCCTAACTGCAAATTGCAGGCCCAGAGCACAGATTTACCAACACATTGTCTTTGAAAAAAGCTTTTATTTCTTTGTAATATAAACTATATTATAAATATGGATTATAATATAGTTACAACACTTCCAGCTTCCCTTTCCCCCTCAAACCCTCCCATTTACCCGTTCCTCCTTGGTCTGTATAATGTTACTTGCACGATGTTTTCGGGGCTGACCATTTGGTGTTGGATAACCAGTAGCTGTGCTCTTCCCTGGAGAAGACCATTCCCCTCACTTTCAGCACTCCTTAGTTGTGTGTTGTTCTTTGTGTGGGACTGTGGTCTCCTGGTCTTCCCCGCCCACTTCTGCATGACTTTTGGTATCTTCCTTGTTTAGCTCGTGTTTAGGCAGTCTTGTTAGTGAGACTTACCAAGGACGTTGCCTAATGTGTCCTCTCTTCCTGGGATCACATGGCGAGTCTCCACTCTTGACTACATTTCCCAGAATCCTCCTGGACTCCTAGTCCCGCCTATCTTGCTTCCCTATTGGCCAACAGTGCTTTATTAACATACGCACAGAAGGACTTCCCCCATCAGGTCTGTCTTATTTCTGGTCTTTCTCTAAGTGTTAGATACCGGTTCTTTGTCAGACGTGTGCAGTGCATAGATTTCTTCCACAATATCACTTGTGTCTTGTCTTCAGTGGAACCTTTCAATGAGCAGCAGTTTTTACATTCTCTTTCCCTTCTCGCTCCAGGCTCTCAAGTGCGCCAAGAATTTGCGTTTTCTGTTATTGACAACCTTAGCTCTAGAAGCTTTAAATTTGAGTTAACGCTGATTTCTCCCTTAATACTTCATGGCTCATACTTTTGTGTCTTCTCTAAGCAATCACTGTCTCCTACAGCCACAATTCCTTTTTACTGGTTTTCTTTATGCAAAAAGTTGTAAACTTACCATGAAAGCCTCTGATCTGTTTCATGTTAGTTTTAAAATTTTACTTTTAAAATTAAAAGTTTATTTTCAACATGAGACCTACTCTCTTAAGTGTGCAGTTGAATGTCCTTGACTATAAATCCAGTGTTGAACAGTCAATCTCTAAAATATATTTACCTTGCTTAGTAAAACTTCAATCCCCTTGTTTATTAACAGCATGTTGCCTTTCCAACAGCCCTGGACAACTGCAATTCTATGCCCTGATTAAAAAATTTGAGTCTTTTAGACACTCCATTTAAATTCAACCATGCAAGATTTATCTTCTGTGGTTGAATTATCTCACTTAGCACAATGTCTTCAGGGTTCATCTGTGCTGTTGTATACTGTAGAAATTCCTTTTAATTTTGGAATAATTAAAATTTAAATATGTATACCACATAGGTTATTTAGGGTTTATCACTTAATTTTTAGTTATTTGGAGATTTTCAAAATGTCTGCTATTAATTTCCAGTTTAATTCCTTTGTGGCTAGAGAATACACTTGCTTTGATTTCATGTTTTCAAAATACACTGATGCCTGTTTTATGCCTAATATGCAGGCTGCTATGGTGAATGCTATGTGCAAAACTGAATTAATGTGGGTTCTGCAGTTTTGGAAGAAATAGTCTAGCAATATCTGTTAGGTCATGTTGGTTATAGAATAAAACAGGTAGAATCAGCTGTAGCTGCTCCACTGTGGCTGGGAGTAAAAAGACCTTCATTTGCATCTGACAGCAGACGCTGTAATTAAATAAGATTGAAACAGGTTCCAGTGCCAGCTTGAATCAAGCTGCACTGATGTGTATTAGAGATTGCTTCTCACTCAGTGCCTTTAGTTGCTTTTCTTGCTGAAAAGAATGGCTTCTATATAGCAACTTTTTTTTTTGGTCACTGAAAGAAAGTAAAAGAAACATGTAAATTACTTACCTTTTGTCTGATATCGCTTAGAACTGATACATTTGAAATGACTAGAGAGAACTTTACAACTTCTAGATAGTGTTATTTTTTCTGACAGAAAAATTTAATTGTACTCATGGCTAAAACCTGTGGCTGGTTTCTTCCACTCAGCCCAGATGGAATTTTGAAACAGAGGAGGACTTCCTTAATGACAGTGGTTCCCAGTGGTTACAGGTCTTACAGTAGTAAGGACCCATGCACTAAACAGACAGACAAACAGACCCAGAGGCTTAGCCTCTGAGTCCTGAAAACTAGAAACGTACAGTTCCAACCTCTAAAGACTGGAGACTTGCAGCTCTGGATGTGCAGGTGCAGCTCTGGATATGGTGTCAAGTGAGGAGGGAGAGAAGAGGAAAACAAGAGAGGGAATATGGGGAGAGACAGATACAACTAAAGCCATTTGAGTGGTAGTATGGCAACCTAATATAGCAGAGGCTTCCTACAACATGTAGATATGTGAAGGCAATCAAAATGAAATTGTCAAATAATGGGGGAGGCAGAGTCCCAAGTGCGTATCTTTTGCCACCAAATAAAGCTTCTAGTACTGAGATTGGGTTACATCTAATTGAATTGTTGGTCAAAGAGGTCCCATAGGAATAATGGGAATACCAAAACAACCAACACTGTTGCCAAGACGCTAGGTTGCTCTCCACAAACTGACAAAATGGCAAGATCCCATTGCTGAAGATAATACCTACACAACTCATTGGACGTGGAAGGCAAGCTGGTGCCTTCACAGAGCCGTCACACCCCCTTGCTAGCCCCTTAAGTACAGGAAGATACTCTGGATGCTGCCCAAAAGAGAAACATAAACCAACCCAACCCCAAACCCTTTGATCCTCCGTGGTGTCCCACCTGCCACATACTCTGGTGTGAGGTGACACAAAGTTGGTGACAGAAACCAAACAGTATCTGATCTGACTAAGGCCTACTCCAGGAGACGGAACCCATGCTTGGTACTGCTTGGATGACAAAGAATTTGACACTAGATAGCCCAGAGACCTATTGTTAAAGTCAAATACTACTTTTCATAAAGAAGTAGCAATAATATAGAGAAGATCAACCACACTAGACTAACAGTAGAAACCAGACAGAGCCTGTGTTGGCCTTCAGACTGGGTGTCCGACAGTGCAGTCACGTGTGACCCTGCTAGTCAGACTTCTGATCAGTGAGGAAATGGCTAGACAGATCAGGGCAGGCACAAGACATTGTCCATAACACAACCTGCCTAACTAAGTATCCCAGAACTGTAGATGATGAGTAAGCCACAGCTTCAATCCCCAGGTGTGTCTCTACACACCGAGGTAGGTTTTACTGCTTCCTGTTCTCTGGCTCCAGAGATGTCAATATTAGAGTATGGGAAACAATGTTCTCAGATGATAGGAAAGAGTGAGTGAGCTGGAGAAGGAAGGGAGGGAGGAAAAAGGAGACCGTGGCTACTGCTGTCTCACCCCCATAAGAAGCGAAATTACTTACGCATTAGGCTGTAAATGTGCTTGTCTGCAACGTGTTCCGTAAACAGCTTTATAAGATCATCTTTTAAGTCTCTGTTAGGCTTTGATTCTATGTAAAACTTATTCTGAAAAAAAAAGTTTCTATATGTCAACAAGGGAAAGTAATCATCCCCATGAGTGGGAGAACTAATCACAGTTTTAGGGAACAATGTATAAGGGTATCGGTTTAAAATCAATAATAAAATACCCAGCAAACAGCAAAACAAGGGTTAGGGGGTCTGGGTAGTCTATAGGGACTCTGGCAGTGGAACCAGTATTTATCCTCAGTGCACCAATGGGCTTTGGGAGCCCATTCCCTATGGAGGGATGCTCTCTCAGCCTAAATACACAGGGGAAGGCCTATGTCCTGTCCCAAATGATGTGACAGACTTTGATGATCCCCCATGGGAGGCCTCACTCTCCCTGAGGAGTGGGATGGGGGGCTGGAGAGGGGGGATGATTGGATAGGAGGGAGAGGGAACTGAGTTTGGTATGCAAAATAAGATTGCTTTTAATCTAAATAAAATTTAATTAAAAAGGTAGCAATAAATTGGCATTCTGCTCTACTCATAGATCAATGACTTGCTGAGCCACCATCAGAGAAATGTTCTCCTGCCACAGATGGGAGCAAATAGAGAGACCCACAGCCAGACACTATGCAGACAATGAGAGGCCTTGAGACGCTCAGCCCTAAATGGGTGTTTCCATTGAATCCCATGGGACCCCTGCAGAAAAAGAGGCAGGAAGAAGGTAAGAACCAGGGAATGGTGGGCACCAGGAAAACTAGGCCGCTTAAGTCAACAGGGTTGACAGGTGTATGAACTCACAGAGACCGTGGCATCATGCACAGGGCCCACATGTGTCTGCTCCAGATGTGGTCCTATGGCTGGAAGGAGACGTGGACACATGCCCAATCCTTAACTCAGAAGCTATCTCCAATTGATAACTACTTGTAAATGAAAATTTAGTTTTCTCTCAGGAAGTCTTGTTTTTTTTTCTATTTTTCACTTATTTTTTATTTCAAGATAGCTTCATATGTCAATCCCAGCTCCCTCTCCCGCCCCTCCTCCCCTGCACTCCCATCAACTCCCCCAGGTCCCCACCCAATCCCCACTCCATTCCCCAGGGAGGGTGAGACCATCTGTGGGGGATCCCCAGAGTCTGCCATTTCGTCCAGGGCAGGGCCCAGGTCCTTCCCCAAGATAATAGGCGGAGAGAGCATTCCTCACTGTGGGAGGGGCACCCAAAGTCCATCTGTATGCCTGGGACAAACACCAATCCACTGCCCAAGGTCCCACAGATTGTCCAGCCCTCCTCGTTGATACCCACATTCAGGGGGTCTGGATCAGTCCCATCAGATGGTGGTCCAAGAGTTCCCCCTTGTTCAGGTCAGCTGTCTCTGTGGGCTTCACCAGCTGGGTCTTGACACCTTTGCTCATCACTCCTCCCTGTCTGTCACTGGGTTCCAGGAGTTCAGTTCAATGTTTTGCTGTGGGTGTCTGCCTCTGTTTCCATCAGTCACTGGATGAAGGTTCTAGGATGGCATATAAGGAAGTCATCAAACTCATTATCATGGAGGGGCATTTAAGGTGGTCTCTCCACTATTGCTTAGTCAGTTAGTGTCATCCTTGTAGATCTCTGGAAATCTCACTAGTTCCAGGTCTCTTCCCAAACCTATGAATCCCTCTATTATGGTACCTCTCATCTTGTTCTCCTCTATTCTTCCCTCAACTTAATCTTCGTGCTCCCCCATGTTCTCCCCTTCCCTGTTCCTCTTCCTGACTCCCATTCCCTCCCCCCATGCTTCCAGTCTGCTCGGGAGATCTTGGCTCATTCCCTTTACCTGGGGTACCATGCATATCCCTCTTAGGGTCCTACCTGATTCCCAGACTCTCTGACGGTGGGATTGTAGGCTGATATTCCCCTGATCCATGTCTAAAATCCATATATGAGTGAGTATATACCATGTTTGCCCTTTTGTGACTGGGTTACCTCACTCAGGATGGTTTCTTCTAGCACCATCCATTTGCCAGCATTTTCTCTATCCACTCTTCAGTTGATGGGCTTCTAGATTGCTTCCAGGTTCTGGCTATTACAAATAATACTGTTATGAACACAGTGGAACAGACATCCTTGTATAAATGGGCATCTTTGGGGTACATGCCTAAGAGTGGAATGGCTGGATCTTGTGGTAGACTGAGTCCCATTCTCCTGAGGAATCTCCATACTGATTTCCAAAGTGGCTGTACGAGTTGGCACTCCTACCAGCAGTGAAGGAGTGTTCCCCTCTCTCCACATCTTCTCCAGCATAAACTGTCATTGGAGTTTTTGATTTTAGCCATTCTGACAGGAATGAGATGGCATCTCAGTGTTGTGTAGGAGGAAGCCTGTATGCCGCCATTAACCATGTGACTTAATAGAGGCACATACAGATGAGGTAATAAAAGAGCGGTTTATCACACCGCTAACCACACCCACTTTCGGCATGACTAAAGACGTATACAGATGGACGTAAAGACGTATACGTACGTAGGCGGTGAACTATGTCACTAGCCAGGCCCACATTTGGGCATGGCTAGGGAGCGTTACGGGGGAAGGCATAAAAGACAGAAGAACGGAAGTCTTGGTCTCTTTTCCGGATTTCAGCTTCCAGTTCGGCAGCGGAAAACTACTGGGCTCATCTGGGTTACTTGTTTGTTATCTTGTGAGTAATTTCTACAATAAATACTTAGTTTTACTTTCAGTAAGTGTGCCGTTTATCGTTACAGCATCAGTGTTGTTTTGATTTACATTTCTCTGATGGCTAAGGATGCTGAGCACTTTCTCTAGTGTCTCTCAGCCATTTTAGACTCCTCTATTGAGAATTCTCTATTTAGTTCTTTTTAATTGGATCCTTTGGTGTTTTGGAGACTTGCTTCTTGAGTTCTTTATAAATTTTAGAGATCAGCCCTCTGTTGGATATGGGGATTGTGAATATCTTTTTCCATTCTGTGGGCTGCCTTTTTGTCTTGTTGACTGTGTCCTTTGACTTACAGAAATTCTCAGTTTCAAGAGGTCCCATTTGTTAATTGTCGATCTCAGAGTCTGTGCTATTGGTGTTATGTTCAGAAAGTGGTCTCCTGTACCAATTCGTTCAAGGGTACCTCCCACTTTGTCTTCTAAGAGGTTCAGTGTGGCTGGATTTATGTTGAGCTCTCTGATCCATTTGGACTTAATTTTTGTGCATGGTAATAGACATGGATCTATCTGCAGTCTTCTACATGCCAATATCTAGTTATGCCAACACCATTTGTTGAAGATGCTTTCTTTTTTCCATTGTATAGTTTTAGTTTCTTTGTCAAAAATCAAGTGTTCGTAGGTGTGTGGGTTAATATCAGGGTCTTCAATTTGATTCCTTGGTCTGCCTGTCTATTTTTGTGCCAATACCAAGCTGTTTTCAAGACTATAACTCTATAATAGAGCTTGGATTCAGGGATGTTGATGCCTCTGGAAGTTCCTTTATTGTACATTGTTGTTTTGGCTATCCTGGGTCTTTCATTTTTTTCATATAAACTTGATTATTGTTCTTTCAAGGTCTGTGAAGAATTGTGGCGGTATTTTGATGGGGATTGCATTGAGTCTGTAGATTGCTTTTGGCAAGATTGCCATTTTTACTATATTGATCCTACCTATCCAAAAACATGGGAAATCTTTCCATTTTTTTGGTATCTTCTTTAGTTTCTTTCTTTAGAGACTCAAAGTTCTTGCTATACAGGTCTTTCACTTGTTTGGTTAGCGTTATCCCCAGATATTTAATGTTGTTTGGGGCTATTGTAAAGGGTGATGTTTCTCTGATTTCTTTCTCAGTCCATTTATCATCTGTATATAATAGGGCTACTGATTTTTTTTTGAGTTAATCTTGTATCCTGCCACTTTGCTGAATGTGTTTATCAGCTGTAGGAGTTCCCATGTAGAGTTTTTCAGGTCACTTATGTAAACTATCATATCATCTGCAAATAGTGAAAGCTTGACTTCTTTCTTTCCAAATTGAATCCCCTTGATCTCCTTTTGTTGTCTTATTGCTCTAGCTAGAACTTCAAGTACAATGTTGAAGACATATGCAGAGAGTGGACAGCCTTGTCTTGTTCCTGATTTTAGAGGAATTACCTTGAGTTTCTCTCCATTTAGTTTGAGGTTAGCTGTTGGTTTACTGTATATTGCTTTTTATAAAGGGAAACTTTTTCCTTGAGAGCAGCCTTCCCACTAGCCTGGTTCTAGAGCCGCATCAGTCCCAAATAAACACACAGGAGGCTATATTAATTATGAAGCTGTTGGCCTTGCTTGTTTCTTACTGGCTAGCTCTGACTTAAGTAATTACCCCATAATTGTTAATCTAAGTATTTCTCTTACCAGAGAATAGTTCCGGGCTTCCTACCCTATGACGTTACATCGTGACTCTCTTGTGTTTCTCCTTCCCAGAGTCCTCCTGGACTCCTAGTCCCACCTATCTAGATTCCCTATTGGCCAGACAGTGCTTTATTGACAAATGCACAGGACTTCCCCAACAGCTTTTATTATGTTCAGGTATGTTCCTGTTATCCCTGATCTCTCCAGGACCTTTATCATAAATGGGTGTTGGATTTTGTCAAAGGCTTTTTCAGCATCGAGTGAGATGATTATGTTGTTTTTCCCTTGCAATTTGTTTATATGGTGAATTACGTTAATAGATTTTCTCATGTTGAACCATCCCTGCATCCCTGGGATGAAGCCTACTTGATATGGTAGATGATTTTTCTGATGTGTTCTTGGATTTGATTTGCTTGAGTTTTATTGAGTATTTTTGCATCAATGTTCATGAGGGAAATTTCTTTGTAGTTTTCTTTCTTAGTTGTGTCTTTGTGTGCCTTGGGTACCAGGGTAATTGTAGCCTCATAAAAAGAATTTGGCAATGAACTTCCTGCTTCTATTTTGTGGAACATTTTGAGGAGTATTGAAATTAGCTGTTCTTTGAATTTCTGATAGATTTCTGCACTGAAGCCATCTGGACCTGGGCTTTTTTTGGTTGGGAGACTTTTGATGACTGCTTCTATTTCAATAGGGGTTACAGGCCTGTTTAGATTGCTATCTATTCTTGATTTAATTTTGGCCAGTGATATCTATCCAGAAAATTGTCCATTTCGTTTAAATTTTCAAATTTTGTGGAATACAGGTTTTCAAAGTATGACTTGATGATTCTCTGGATTTCCTCAGTGTCCGCTGTTATGTCCCCATTTTCATTTCTGATTTTGTTAATTAGTATGCTTTCTCTCTGCCTTTTGGTCATTTTGGATAAAGGTTTGTCTATCTTGTTGATTTTCTCAGAGAATTGACTCTTTCTTGATTCTTTGCAATACTTTCCTGGTTTCTAATTTGTTGATTTCAGCCCTCAATTTGATTATTTCCTGGCATCTACTCCTCCTGGGTGAGTTTGCTATTTTTTTGTTCTAGAGATTTCACTTGTGCTGTTAATTCTGTAGTGTAACTAACTATTCTCCAGTGTATTCATGTGGGTACTTAGTGCTATAAACTTCCCTCTTAGCACTGCTTTCAAAGTATCCCATGAGTTTGGGTATGTTGTGTCTTCATTCTCATTGAATTCTAGGAAGTCTTTAATTTCTTTTTTTATTTCTTCCTTGACCCAGGGATGGTGTAATTGCTCATTGTTCAATTTCCATGAGTTTGTAGGGTTTCTGCAATTTGTGTTGTTGCTGAATTCTAATTTTAAAGTGTGT